TGTACCCCCCCCCCCCTTTTTTGGCATGAAAGTGTATGTGTGGTTTCATCGCAGGAATTATAGTAATGACACATCACGTTTGACAGCACGCACGAAATGTGTGCATGTCTGTGTGTGTCGGCCCGTGGGAACCGTCTCATTGTGGAATCTGCAACCGCAGGGCATAAAAAAATAAAAGAGTTGAATGAGAGGGTGAAACAGAGTCTGTAACTGACGAATGTTAGAAATCAGTTGATGAGCTCAAGAGACAAATAACATCTCGTCGTGCCACTGAGGTTTCATTATGATTATTAAATGCAAATCTGCAAGTGATTGCAGAAAGTTTAAGGTTTAAGAAGTCACATACACTCAGCCTAATTTGATTTGAGAACACTTCCTTTTTCCTCTGTTCCTCAAACTCCCTTCCTTCCCATTTGAACACACACATACAATTTTCACAGGGAGAGAGGGTTTGGTTTTGTATGCATGAGGGTTTTGTGCATTAAAGGTTTACATGCTCAAAAGAAAGAATGAATGAATAAATAAAAAAAGATTGCATTAATATGAAGGAATTTCCTGTTACGATTTTCAAAGGTATTTTCCTTATATTTGAAATTACACATTTCATTGTTCACATTATCAGTGCTTTTTTTGTGTGCTTTTCTTAAAAGCAGAATACAATAAGTAAATAAATAAATAAATACTCAGAATGTGTTAATATGAAGGAATTTCCTGTAATGATTTTTCACAGGAATGTTCCTTATATTTTATATTGCACACTGCATTGTTCACATTTTTATTGTTTTGTTTTTATTTGTTTTTTGTTAAAACTACTTATCAGAACATTATCAGTAGCTTTTTTGCTTTTCTAATTATTTTTTTCTTACATAACAGCAGAATACAAACAAACAAACAAACAATAAATAAATAGTTAGTAAGTATTTAAGTTTAAATAATTGTATTATTTGAGAAAAAGAGACTTCTCTCCAAAAAAAAACAAACAAGAAAATCAGTTGCTTGGGTCAAAATACTGATTTAAAATAATGAATGCAATGCAGTTTAACAGTTAACTTGTTGTCAGTGCAGACTGCAAGTTATTCAGATCAGCTTATTTTAGTCAATTTGTCCGACTTCCGATGGTTTGCATCTCATCAAACGCAACCTAGCAAAAGAAAAACAAGTCCAGTTGACTAGTCAGCTCTTCTAGTCAGGTTAACTTGCACAGAGGCCCGTCATGATCAAAGAGCAGAGTTTAAACGCGTCTGTCACCTACAAGGTCCTGAATGAGTGAAGTACTGTAATCACCTGACGAATCTCACACATACACACTGCGAACAAGTCGTCGCATGCCGTCCCTCCCTCACTCCCCTGCCAGAGTTTGAATAATAAAGCTTTATTTGCATTTCTAAAGCTGATGACAGACACAACCCGTTGGAGAAATCTCAAATCTGAGCTGAGCATGCCTGTACTCTTTACCCTATAGCGTGTGTGTGTGTGTAAACACACATTCAGAGACAGAACATCAGGATTCAGGAGAGGCTGCAGGTCTTTCCACACACACACACACACACACACACACACACAATGTGTGCTGGTGAGAAAGGAGACGCTTCGAGCTTCATGGCAGGAAACGAGCCCAATTCACATAGAACAGACAGAACAGAGATCTGAACCACTGTAAACTCCTACATGTGTTTATAGTCCTCAATGTTATAATGAAGAGTAGAATGATGCATGACCTCAGTTATCATTTTAACTTTCTTTTAAGGCCTTAAAGGAGTAGTTCACCCAAAAATGGGCAATTATTGAGAATTGTTACTTCATGGGAAAAGATTTGGAGAAATGTAGCATTACAGCATCACATGCTCATCAATGGATGCTTTGCAGTGAATGGGTGCCGTCAGAATGAGAGTCCAAACAGCTGATAAAAACATCACAATAATCCACAAGTCATCCACACCACTCCAGTCCACCAGTTAATGTCTTGTGAAGAAAAAAGCTGTGTGTTTGTAAGAAAAAATCCATCATTAAGACATTTTAAGGTTGTCATAATCCATAATAACGCTTCTTCCAGTGAAAAGCTTCTTCCTTCTCACATCAAAATCCACCCACATATTTCTTTAGAACTGTTTTGGCTTGTAAACTTGGCTTGATTGATCTGTGCATATTTCTCTCCTGATTCAGACAAGATGACTTTTCAATAAATGGAGAAAGCAATAATCCACAGAGGACTCATATTTTAGCTCATATTTTAACTGTTTGAAGTTAAAAGGTCTTGATGGATTTGTTTCTTGTGGATTATTGTGATGTTTTTATCAGCTGTTTGGACTCTCATTCTGACGGCACCCATTCACTGCAGAGGATCCTTTGGTGAGCAAGTGATGCAATGCTACATTTCTCCAAATCTGACGAAGAAACAAACTCATCTACATCTTGCATGGCCTGAGGGTGAGTAAATGCTCAGCAATTTTTCATTTTTTGGGCAAACTTTGTTCTTTTTAAAGTCACATTAAAGTAAAGACAAACATGAAAAATACAGACACATTTTCGAGATGTTATTTTAAGTGCGTGCGCATGTGTGTTTATCAAGTAAATCATCTGATAATCTCCTCAGACAAGAGAATGTGTGTATTTATGAGTATTTGTGTGTTTGTGTGTCTAAAGATCTCATATTTCAGTAGCTTCAGCACTACTGCTTATCTCTACCGAAACGCCAAGAACAGCATCTCACAGATCTGTTTCTCATTTCGGTGTCAAAAGATTCACATCTTTTCAGGTCTAGTCTGGTCTTCTCTTGTCTCTCAATATACTTTTATAAGTAGAGTTTCAAGAAAGATGACATTTTGACTGTTGAAATATGTTTTGGGTGCAGCAAAGCTGGCGATTTGGAAAACTAGGAAAATTAAGGAGGAAAATTATTGCATGTACATTGAGAATTGAATTTTACTCAACTTGATTACAGAATTATGTTCAACAGAATTGATAAAGAAAGGATATATATACTGCTCTTATATAAATATATACATATATATGGATTGTTTCATGCAAACACGTAATTTGTCACCTCACAAGATGTTAACTGGTGGACTGGAGTGGTGTAGATTACTTGTGGATTATTGTGATGTTTATATCAGCTGTTTAGACTCTCATTCTGATGGCACCCATTCACTGCAGAGCATCCATTGGTGAGCAAGTGATGCAATGCTACATTTTCCAAGTCTCTTCTCATGAAGAAGTGAATTCATTCATTCATTCTTTGGAAAACATGGTCTCCTGCTCACCAAGGCTGCATTTATTAGATCAAAAATATAGTAAAAACAGTAATATTGAGAAATATTATTACAATTTAAAAGAAGTTTTCAATTTTAATATAATTTAAAATGTGATTTATTCCTGTGATGCAAAGCTGCATTTTCAGCATTTTCTTATTTTTATCAATGATGAAAACAGCTGTGCAAGTAATATTTTTAATATTTGTAAAATATTGTCACTAGAATTCTTTGATGAATAGAAAGTTCAAAAACAGCATATACAGTATATATATATATATATATTAGTGCTGTCAAACGATTAATCGCGATCTCATCTGTATTTTTTTTTTTTTGGATGT